AGTCCATTGAATATAATTCTTTTGAATTCCTTATCAGGGAGTTTACAATGCTGTTTCTTCCTAAGGGATATTTTCTGGGTCTGTATTCTGGTTCCCTTGTTTCTGCTATTTTATCTTGTATCTTTTTGTGGGTTTTGATAGTCTGTTGTCTCTGAGACATTGTGACATTATTGTATTTGTATTTAATTGGTGATTGTATGTTGGTGTTATTCACCCAAGTTTTTTTTCTTTGTTTTGTTTTGATATATCTGAGTAAGCAGGGTACTGTGCTCCTCTATTCGCTAGTTGGCAGCACTTAGGCACTCACCACCTGTCTCCTGGTAGGTATGTTAGAGAACGAGAGTGTGTGCACAGATCTCTGTTAGCTGTTTATGAAAAGCAATTAAGGGTGAGCAAGCTTGTATTGGCTGTCATCTGTTGTTGGCCAGTTGGTGCAGGAGCAAGTGGTGGCCCTCAGTCAGTAAATGACAGCTACAGGTAGTTCAGTGTAGTTGGGTTGTATGAGCACGGTTGCTGTCTCTCACTCAATTAGACAGAATAACAATAAGAAAAATCCACCAAAAAAGTAAAAACAAGAGGACCAAAACCACAAAACTGCATAAACAAACAGGAACAATTAAAAAAAAAAAGCAGTAAATGAGAAGAAATATTTAATGAAATTCTTTAAAAAGACAAAGGAACTATAAAGAGAAAAATAAAACCCACAGTATCTGGGGAGAGGGAAAAATGAGAAAAGAACAAGAGTAAAAGAATAATAAAGAAAAAAAAAGTAGAAAACTGCAAAAAGAAAAACAAGGGATGAGAAGAACCAAAAGAAGGAGAAAAGATGAGAACCAGGAAAAAAGCAAAAATTAGAACCTAGGAAGGGAAAAAGAAAGAATAAAAAAGAAAGAAACAATGAATAATTTAAAAACAAACAAAAGCAAATCCAGGGAAGCAGTGCTAGGCATCCAGGCTCTTGTCAGAGCACATAGCCAAAACCAAACCAAACTCACTGCTGTCGAGTCGGATCCGACTTACAGCGACCCCTCCTTGGGTTTCCAAGGTGGTATCACTACAGAAGTAGATTACCCAGCCTTCCTTCTGTGAAGTGGCTGGTGGGTGTGAACCACCAACTTTCTGGTTAATAGTCAGATGCCTTAGGCACTATGCCTCCAAAGCTCCTAGAGCACATGGAGTGGGATAGAATTCTTGCCAAGTCCAAAGTTGAGTGGAGGTCAGTGATGGCCATACCTCCATTCACCAAGAGGGTGTGGGGTATAAAAGCAGTAAGGGGAATGTCGTACGTTTCATTGTCAGCCTCCAGTGTGATTGTCTGTGCTGTCCTTGGCAAACACAGCCTATTATTAGGTTGCTGGGATTGGAACCTGCTGCTTGTAAGTATCCAGAATGGCTACACTGCTTGTAAATAATCAAAATGGCTGCACCCTCCATGAAGCTGACAGTCCACAGCTCACTTTGTCTCCTATTTGCTGTTTTCCTTTCTAGTCATCAGCCACAGTGTATTTGTCCATGCAGTTCTTGGTGAGCAGGGCTGATTCTTAGGTTTCTGCCCAGAATCTAACACTGCTTGTAAATATTCAAAGTGGCCCTGTTGTCAGGATAGCCAACAGTCTGCAGCTCCGTTTGTCTTCTTATTCAGTGTTTTCATTCAGGTTTTCGTACTAGTTGGTATTTAATCCACTTCTGTATCCTTCCTTTCAAAGCTCAGGGCTCCAGGGTAATCTTCCATATCTGTGTCAATTGGTTTCTCTTTTCTTTGTTGAAGCAGATCTGGGTAGCTTGTCTTTCTGTTACTCCATCTTACTGGAAGTGTGGTTGCATCCGCTGGTTAACCCAAATTGTCAGGTCAGACAACTGGCTGTTATCTCAAGCTCAGGGATTGGATGATGATGATCCAAAAGGAGGATTTGGAGCAAGAGAGTAGTTCATTGCTTTTCTGAATTTTGTGAATTAAAAAACAGATAAAGAGTCTACTTTTCTAGAAGATTGTATTTTATATTGATTACACTGAAAGACAATGTACATTAGGTATGATTAGAGTACAGGATGAAATGAACATTGACAGAGGCACAACAAGTAAAAAATAATAATTCCAGAAAGTACTCAATAATTATAAAAATTAATTATTAATAATTGGTTTTATCTGATTAAAAGGAGTGAATAAGGAAATACATGATTTTAGTAAGTAAATTGAGTAGATACTAAAAATTATTTTAAAGACAGTGCTTCTATAAAAAAATTCTTGGTAAGCTATAACCTGAGACTTCTAAAGTAGTGACTTTTTGAAATACAACCATAGAAGTCTACAATAGTTTAAAATTACTTTAGATGATGAGAGACATATCTGAATTTCTTATTAAGGAAAGAATGACATGAGAAAATACATAAAAAATACAGTGATTGCATACGTAAATAAGGAAGTCCTCTAAATGTATCAGTTCCAATGCAAGACAATTTGATGTTTAAGCAACCTCAACAAAAATAAAATAATTTTTATGTCAAAAGTGGAAAGGAACTACAGAATGTTTAAGGCCATTTGATCCTTGTAGGTATAAGAAATAGGTTTCATAGATGTCATTAATAAGCTAGATGTTACCAAAGAAGCTGGATAGCATTCTCTTGAGCTTCTTGAAGATATTGAGGTTAAAATTTAAGATCTTTTGCCTGGATTGTATCTTAATTTTAAATTACTACTGTGCAGAGAGTTATTGAATTGCCATCTGATCATCACTGTAGAAGAGTGGAGGTAAATAAGCTGGTGACAACTGAGTTTTCAGAAAAGTTATTAAGGTAATATTTATTAAAGTTGTAGAAATGTTGATCAGTTAAAATGGATTACATTTGTATAGTATAGGTTTTCTTTATAAAAAATTAGAAATTGTTTCTTACTAATCATTTCAAGATTGTTGGTAGTAGGGATGGGGAGTGGGAACCCTGCTGGCACATCAATCAGTTAAGTGCCTGGCTGCTAACTGAAAGGTTGCTGGTTCAGACCTGCCCAGTAACTCCGTGGGAGAGAGACCTGGCACTGTGCTCCTAGAAAACTATAAGCCAGTTCTGTTCTGTCACCTGGGATCACAATGAGTCAGAATCTGTTCAGCGGCACTCCACCACCACCAACACCACCACCACCTTTGGTTTCCATGATAAAGATATATAAAAGGGTATGGTATAATGCCATAAGGAGTGGTCTTACTTATGGAACTAATGTAGAGAAAGAAATCAAAGTGAAAACTGTAGAGTAGATTTTTCTAGAAATCTGTTTTTTATCAGATAATATTTTTAAACATTATTATGAAATTATCTGGAAAAGAGTGTATCCTGAAGTGTTGAAGTTTGTGAATAATTTCCTAGTAATAAAATGCTAAGCCAACCAAATTGAGCAGCGAGAAGAGCTTGTAATTTTATTCGTGAAAGAATTTTGTTGTCATCAATTGTAAGGAAATGCTAGTTTTTCTCAAGTCAGTGTGCTGTTTTAACCAAAACAAAGTCAGCAACTGGGTTGTTATGAAAAGCCAAAGTTACATGTTTGTATTGCTCTTATGGTGGTATGAATAGCTTATATAATTTTGATTGCTGTAAGGCTAGAAAACGTGATAAGAGTGGAGAGTTTTTTCAGTGAAGATGGATTTTTTTAAAGTTAATATTATTTAGTTTGGAAAGATGAAGAATGACTTGTGTCAAAGATCTGAGGAGTTAGAGGGCAATTGAAATTTCTTTAATTATTAAAGTTTGTTGTTGTTGTGGTTAGGTGTAGTCGAGTCAGTTCCAACTCATAGTGACCCTCTGTACAACAGAAGAAAACATTGTCCAGTCATCTGCCATCCTCACAATCATTTCTATGATTTTGAGTCCATTGTTGTAGCTACTGTGTCAGTTCATCTTGTTCAGAGTCTTCCTTTCCTTTGCTGACCTCCCTTTTACCAAGCATGATGTCCTTCTCCAGGGACTGTTTGTCCTATTAAATATCAAAAATATAAAATAGTAAAAATTAAAGAGTAAGTAGGATAAACATTGATTATTCAATACATCTTGGTAACTTTTATTGGTAGAACCAGGTAGTCCTTTTAAAGGTTGAAAACTGTTATTTTCAGAACATAAGAAAGAGAGATTAGCTTATGGATCTCAACTAAAGACACAGTGCAACTAGGAACCAATAATGGTGTAGAAAAATTAATGTATGATAAGTATAATAGATTATTAAAAGGGGCTAGAGTTTTATGGAGCATTAAATTTAGAGTATCAGACTTACTTTGGATTTAGTTATTAACTATGTGATCTTCGGCAAATTGCTTAAGTTTTCTGAGTCCTTTGTTTCTTCATTTGTATATTATGGATAGTAAAACATGTTTTGATAGTGTTATTAAGAAGATGAAATAAGAATTTGCACTGAGTCTGGTACATGATGGATGCCCAGTAACTGTTAGGAATTATTTATCATCTTTTACCTTTTAACGATAACATCATAAAAAACAAAATGAGTTAGAATCTACTGGTCATCAGTCTGTTGATCTAGAATTTTTTTGTTTTCATATTACAGATAATACTTCATTATTGTGGTTGGCCTTTGACTCATGATGACCACATATGTTACAGAGTAGAACTGAGTTCCATAGGGTTTCCTTGGCTGTAGTCATAGTTCTTCATAAATTAGAGAAATTTTCTTGGGCTCACTTGAGTTATTTGTTCACTTGAGTTAATTGCTAATATTTTTAAGCATTTATTGTGTGGAAGGTATTGTACTAAATGTCCAAAGCACTTAAAACACATTAACTAATTTTACTCTCAGAGGGATAATCCCTCTGAGGTCGGAACTACAATTATTCCCATTTTATAGATTCCTTAGGGTCACAGAGCAAATAAAAAGAGAAGCCAGGATTTGAGCCCAGTCCAGATTCTGTACTCTTAACCATAATAGTCTATTGCTACTATTAAAGAGGTAATTAGAAGAATTGCCAGGTAAAATTGTTCTAAGTAGTGATTTTCTTTCCCCATAGGTGCAGATTTGGAAAATGGTACTTGTTCTCATCCTATGTTTCCTGATAAAGTTTCCCCTCTTTTACCTGCAAGTCATGTGAACGTGACAAAAGGAACTGGATTGGTTCACACAGCCCCAGCTCATGGTATGGAAGATTACAGTGTAGCTTCTCAACACAACCTGTCAATGGTACTAGTCCTCTTTTTTCCTTTTTAATGATTGATTTTATAGAATTAAAGTGATTATCCTAATGAACATCTGTATTTTTTGTGTAATAAACTATCATTTTTGTCCTCATAATTAAATTATGAAGTGCTTAGGTTTGTACAGTACCCTAAAGCATCATTAATTCATATTAATTGAGAAAGAGTTCCCAGAATTAGCACAAAATCAACATAAAGTTAGAATTGAAAATTATATATTATATAAGGGCAGGCTTTTTGTTTCTTTTTTTTAATGTATTAAGTGACATAGACCAGTTACTTTCAGTCCCTGAAAATGGCAATTTGATTTTAATAAATAATTGAGAAGAGTTTTTGTTTTCAAACGAAAAAGTTTTCTCTGAATTTTTTCCACACACTTCAGTTGCTTAGCATGTTTTTTTCATTGTAGATAAAGGCCAATCTCAGTGTCATCCCTGTCCATTACCTCAGGCTTATAAATTCATAGAGACAAAGAAACAGGTTTTTTTTTTTTGTACTTTGTTATTAAATTTTAGCCATATGATTTAATAACTTATTTACCTTTGGTGATTTAAATGTATAAAATTGACAGATATCTACTGACTGAATAAGAGGAACCCAAATTTTCCACATAGAGAAAGACTGGTCGGTTTGAACCACTGACCTTTTGGTTAGCAGCCAAATGCTCTAACCACTACACCACCAGAGCTCCTAAGACTAAATAGAGAAACACTTGGCTCTTCTGATATATTTTTTATATGTTGTCTTGCCAGATATTGCCATAAGATAAAATGTCTTGATATTTTAATTATTCAAAGTAACACTTTGCAGGATTGTTTAGTGAATGAAGATGGAATTTTCACAGATGTCGCAGGTCCTGAACTTCAAAATAAGGCTGTCCTTGAAGAGGGAACTGATGTGGGTGAGTATTGTATTTGAAGAAATCATATATGTATATGCTTTTTTGAAGAGTAGCTAGCAGTAGCCTTTGCTAGCAATTTTCCCTTTTTACCATCAGAAAAAAACTAAAATTATAAATAAATAAATAAATAAATAAATATATATATATATATATATATATATATATATATAACTTTATTACATTAGTTAATATATTTTATGTTGACATGTAGTTTAAATGGAGTTTGGGACTTTTTCATCCTTTGCTTTGAAGCTGCTCTATTGTGTTTAAGCAAATCAGGACAGTCAACAAGAGAATGATACTATTTTCAGAGCTATAGAGATAATACTGCTTTGGAAGAATAAAGTCAAGCTTGGGGTTAAATGTTAGCTGTGAATTAGACATTCTTTACACCCTATGAATCTTTGTAAATCACCGACCTATATGGCATAGTTTATGTACTGTGATCTTGGGGGCCTTCCAGCTTTGAGTTGCTTTTCTGCCTTTCTTTGTGGATCCAAGGACCAGGTACTATGAAAATCTTTGTGTCCACACTAGACCTAAGGCAAGTTAAATAAAGCAAACCAAACCTACTGCCATCGAGTCAATTCCAACTCATACTAACCCTATAGGACAGAGTAAAACTGTCCCATAGGGTTTCCAAGACTGTAAATCTTTATGGAAGCAGACTGCCTCAGCTTTCTCCCACAGAGCAGCTGATTGGTTTCAACAACCGACTTTTTGATTAGCAGCCAAATGCTTTAATTGCTATGCCACCAGAGCTCCTAAGGTAATTAGACCTGATATATAGTTTCCTAGGGCTGCCATAACAACTTACCACAAACTTGATGACTTAAGACTACAAAACTTTATTCTTTTACAGTTCTGGCTGCTAGAAGTCTGAAATCTATTTATTGGTAGGAGCATGGTCCCTCTGAAGGCTCTAGGGAAGAATCCTTTGCTACTTCTTAGCTTCTAGTGGTTCCTGGCAATCTTGGTGTTCCTTGCCTTATAGCTGCATCACTCTAATCTCTGCCTCTATTGTCATGTGGGCTTCATTCCACTTACGTGTCTGTCTGTGTGTCCTTCCTTCCTCTTATAAAGACACTAATTACTGGATTTAGGGCCCATCCTAATCAAGTGTAACCTCATTTTAACTTGATTACACTTCAAAGACCCTTTATCCAAATAAGACCACAGAAGTGAAGGTACCAGAAGTTAGGACATGAACATATTTTTTATGGGAACATAGTTCAACCTACTAGGTTTCTTCTGGATTAGCTAAAGACCATTTGAAGATTATTTTCTTACCATTAAGAAAGATGACTCTAAATTTCAAATTTAGAATTCTAGATATAGCCTGTTCATCTTTCCTTTGAAGTGAAGAGCCTTGAGAATGGCATAATTTGAAATCTGGTTACATTACTCAGTCCTTGTTTTATCTGCCAAGAGATTCCTAGATTATGCTTTTGACACCTGGGGGGTGACTACTGTTGTTGGCACCTGTTGGTCTAGATTTAGATTTATATACCATGAGAGGATAGAGTATTTTAGATTATCACAGTACTATTTAATTGTGTCTAATACAAATTGTTAACTACCTTTTTTTTTTTTAAGTTATAAAGATGCTTCAGGCTGCAAAGAATTTGTTGAAAGAAGAAAAATTGGTACACAGCTATCCCTATGACTGGAGGACTAAAAAACCAGTGGTTATTCGTGCCAGTAAACAGTGGTTTGTGAATATCATGGATATTAAGCCTACGGCCAAGGTATAAAAGGCATTCTAATAGGGATTAGGTTTATCAGTATGATGTGGTTGCATGTGAGGTTGAGGTGAGGTTTTGGGAGTGAAAGGGATTGCTGCTGTTATGATTTATTTTCGTAAAGTTGTAGAATTTTAGATCTGGGAGGTCATTGGAATTCCAACATACATGAGAAATGAGAGGTTATTAATTTGACAGAGTCACACGGATAGTAGGTAGATTTTTCTGTCCAATGTATTGAAAGTAGAATTAAGACAGAACTGAGTTTAGCCAGTTGTTTAAACCTCCTAGAACTTCAGTTTCCTCATCTATATAAAAGTGGTAATATTGCCTACCTCATGGGGTAAGTGAATAAAAGTTCCCAGAGCAGTGTCTGGCACATAAGGCACATAGTAAAACTTTTTAAAACCCATTTGCTCACTTCAGATTATAATTGCAGTCCATTTGAAAAGTTGTTACATAACCAGTGTTCTAAATATTTAATACACATTTGAGCTCTTTCATGCAAACATACATATATATGTATGTGTATATAAGATATATGTATAATATAGCTCATAAACAACTTGATTTTATTGAATGAAAGGGCTCAGTGTATTTTAAGTATAAGGAGTCAAATACGTATTTGATAATCAGGCAGAATACACAGACATTTTGCTTTATTTATTAGCTTCTTTATTTTTCCACTTGATAATTTGGGGCCCTTGCCAAAGCTATGGGAGCTCTGGTAGCGTAGTGGCTAAGGCACTTGACTGCTAACCAGGAGGCTGGCAGTTCAAACCCACCAGCCACTCCTCGGAAGGAAGATGGGGCAATCTACTTCCGTAGTGATACTGCCTCGGAAACCCAAGGATGGGTCGCTAGGAGTCAGGTCCTACTTGACAGCATATAACAACAACAACAACAACAGCCAAAACTATGCATAGCAATTTACATTTTTTAAACTCATAGTGTGGATTGTGATATGGATTGTTTTTTTCTTCATTTTGACATTCTAATGAAGCCTGTCTTCCTTACTTGTAAATGTTAAGATGAGTAACTGCTACCTCTGCATAGATTTTTGGTAGTAGGACATCCAAGTCTGATGAAATTTGCTTAAGCCAAGTTTTTTTTTTTTTTTTTAAACTTTTTTTTGTAGAAAAATTGTCAAGTGCTCTTTGCAGAAGTAGAAAAAATAGATAATATAACACCATCACAATAATATACCAATGTTCAATACATTGGACAGAAAAATCTACCTACTATCTGTGTGACTCTGTCAAATTAATTAACCTCTCATTTTTCATGTATGTTGGAATTCCAGTGACCTCCCAGATCTAAATTTTTTGTAGAAAAATTGTCAAGTGCTCTTTGCAGAAGTAGAGAAAATCGATAATATACCACCATAAACAATAATCAACTTCTGGCTGATCTTGTTTTTATTTGCACTCCTTCCTATCACCTACCTTTCTCCCACTAGCAATTGGATTATTTGAAGTAAAGTCCAGGCATTATTTCTTTCATAAATATTTCAGTATGTATATCTGAAAGGTAAAGTTTTTAAAATATAACTTCAGTGCTGTTGTCATCACCTTAAAAGAAAGTAATAATTATTTCTTAACAAGATCAAATATCCAGTCAGTATTCACATTATCAGCATTTTAAAATTAAATTTTAATCAAATTGAATTGTAGAGATATTGCTATTCTGCCAATAGGTGGTGCTACAACAGGTTTTGGAGAAAGGGATTTCTAGTAGTTGAGGTAAGTGAGGAAACCATTTAAAACTATGAGTCGGAGTTGCCTCAACACCAGTGAGTTTGGTTTTTTTTTTGTTTTTTTTCTGAAAATATAAAAATGGCTTTATTAAGGGATAAGAGAGATTTTTTAAAATAACAGATTCTGTTTTTTTTAGTTTACTACCAAACGTTTTGGCAGTATAATTTCATCTTGTGGTAATTGACCAATGTAATGAATGAAATGAAATCAAATGCTAGTAATTGGGACTTTTGGGGTTGGGGGCTGGTAAGGGAAAGTTCTTGAGAGGTTAATAAATGAATAGAAAATAACTTACTTTAGATTTTTTTTTTTCTGGTTTGCAAAACTGTGTGATGTATAATTAGGTTATGTTGCAGTCTGGTAGCTTATTTGTTAAGCTATAAAAAAGTGACTGAAGTAAAGGATGAATTGATTTTAGCTGTAGTTAAATGAAGGAGCTCTGGTGGCTCAGTGATTAAAACATTTGGCTGCTAACCAACAGGTCAGCAGTTTGCACCCCCCAGCCACTGCATGGGAGAAAGATGTGGCAGTGTGTTTCCATAAAAATTGGCAGCCTTTGAAAGTCTGTGGGGCAGTTCTACTCTGTCCTGTAGGGTTGCTGTGAGAATTGACTCTATGGCAATGGATTTTTTTTAATAGTTTATTGAAGTATAATACTTTTAAACCTGTTATTAGCAGCTTTTATTTAAAGTGCTAGGAGTTTGGTGTTATAAAATCTCGTCACACCCTCCAAAGTGAAGTCCACTCTTAATATTATTTATTGAATCCTTTGTGGCCTCGTTTTTACTTTACCCTCATTTGCTCTGAAATCTGCTGTTTTAGTTTGTTTTGGTGGGTATTGGTGTATCGGGAAGGAGCGTGTGAATGACTATAAACATCCAAAATAAAGAACTGCATTAGGAAAAATGTGACAGGTCTAGAAAAATTGTTCTTCTTTTTTTTACTACACGTTGATTTGTGAATCAATTGCAGGAATTATTAAAAAAGGTGAAATTTATTCCTGGGTCAGCACTGAATGCCATGGTTGAAATGATGGACAGGAGACCCTATTGGTGTATATCAAGACAAAGAGTTTGGGGTGTTCCAATTCCTGTTTTTCATCATAAGACAAAGGATGAATTCTTGATCAACAGGTAGAACTCTTTCTAAAATTTTTCAGCATTTTGAAGTGAGTTGTGTTTTCTTTAAAAATGAAAGAAAAATAGTGGACTATTGGTAATTTCTTATGTACATTGAATAAAATACCTGGAAATAATGATTTTTTTTTAAGGGAAATGTGAGACTGGGCAATTAATCTCTGTGAGTCTGTGCTCTTCTATAAAATAGGAAAACAGTGTTTGTGGAAGGATTATTAAGAATATTACATAATAAATGTAAAAATCTGGAATAGAGCACATCGTGCCATATTGGTGGGTGCTATTCATTTGTTCATTCAAGAAACACTTTTAGGCATTTTATACATATTAGCGTTAAACCAACAACCAAACTCACTGCCATCGAGTTTGATCCAAATCATAGCAACCCCTCCTTGGGTTTCCGAGGCAGTATCACTACAGAAGTAGCCCAGCCTTCTTTCAGAGGAGTGGCTGGTGTGTTTGAACTGCCAGCCTTCTGGTTAGCAGTCAGATGCCTTAGGCACTACACCACCAGATCTCCCATGTTGTTATTATGTGCCATCAAGTCAGACCCGACTCATAGCAACCCCTCCTTGGGTTTCCAAGGCAGTATCACTACGGAAGTAGATTGCCCAACTTTCCTTCTGAGGAGTAGCTGGTAGGTTTGAACCACCAGCCTTCTGGTTAGCAGTCAAGTGCCTTAGGCACTATGCTACTAGAGCTGCCATAGGCACTGCTAATAACTGCAGTAAGCAAGACTGATGTGCTCCCAATCCTTAGTGAGATGGTGGTTGTTGTTGTTGTTGTTTGCCGTCGAGTCGGCCCCGACTCATAGCGACCCCTCCTTGGGTTTCCAAGGCAGTATCACTACGGAAGTAGGATTGCCCAACCTTCCTTCCGAGGAGTGGCTTGTGGGTTTGAACCGCCAGCCTTCTGGTGAGCGGTCAAGTGCCCTAGGCACTATGCTACCAGAGCTCCTAGTGAGATGGTAGTCCAGCTAATTTATCTCCTAATAAAATTAGGGAAGCTTTGAGTTTTGTTAAGGAGCTCTAGTGGCATAGTTGGTAAAGCGTTTGGCTACGAACCAGAAGGTTGGCAGTTCAGATTCACCAGCTGCTTTGTGGGAAGAAAATGAGGCAATCTACTTGCATAAAGATTTATAGCCTTGGAAACCCAATGGGGGTCTCAGTGAGTTGGAATCAACTCAGTGGCAGTGGGTTGGGTTGGGTTTGATTTTTGAGTTTTGTTGTTATTAACATATTGAAAGAGGAATATTAACCTTTTTTTTTTTTTGGAATATATTTTAGGTTTTCATTTTCTTTTAGTGTTTTGTTTTCATTTGGTAACTGGGATTTTTACTGATTTACACTGTAGCGTAAGTTAAGAGTTAAATACATTTCGGTAAATATTTACACATTTCATCAGTTCAGGATCTAGTGATGAATGGGGAGGGCATGGAGGCCAGAAAGTAATGGGGAGGGACTTGAAGAGACTATAGACATAGGCTCAACTATCCCCAGCTTGAGTTCTTTAACATTTTTGTGAAATCAGGTCTACTTTTCATTGTGAATATTATCAGTGCTTCTTTAAGTGATACTTTCGTGAATTACATATGTATTTTAGTAGTTTTAAAAATGTTGATTAAAGTTTTTTTTTTTTTTAATCACCTAGTATCCTTTGTATGAAAGTTCCTTTTCAGCTTGAAATATACATTGTTTCACTCTGTCATGCAATGTCATGTGACTGTGATACATTATGGCAACATGGCTCAGAGGAACAGTAGGGTCTGCCTTGCCAAATGTTAAACCTTGAGAAACAGCTCATTTGCCTCATTCATAGAAGGTGTGACATTTGAGTTGAGACCTGAGGAATAGGTAGGAAAATAGAGAAAGTGTTTTCTAAGTAGAGGGACCAGCAGGAGCTGAAGATCTGGATGTGGGAAATATTGCCTATCTATAGAAATCATGGAGTCCCTGGGTGGTGAAGATGCTTATTGTACTCAGCAGCTAACCGAAAGGCTGGAAGTTCGAATCCACCCAGAGGCACCTCAGAAGAAAGTCCTTGTGCTCTGCTCCCAAAAAAGCAGTCATTGAAAACCCTGTGGAGCACAGTTGACACACATGAGTTTGCAGTGAGTCAGAGTTTACTTGGTGGCAACTGGTAGAAGAACCAACTGTGACTGTAGGGTATGTGAAGAGAACAGAAAGGTAAACACTAAGAAAGGTTGTTTGGGGCAAATTGTGGGGAGTCTTAAACACTTGGTTAAGGAGTACATACTTTTTAGTAGATATAAGAATATGTCTTAGGAAAAGAAACCAGAGGACAGAGACCAGAAACTTATTAATATTTCAATATTACTTACAATTTAGAGATGAGACTTTTTGGCCTAAATATTGATATTTATGCTGTTCTTACAATTTAGTGCTCTATGGAAAGTTAAAGTGATTATAGTTGAGATAAATTGTACAACTATTGTTTAAAATTCCACAGTGGAAAGTTTTCTTTTAAAGAAATCTTTAACAGCCATCACAGTTGTTTCTCATTCTTTTCAGCATTTAGAGATGAATATTTTTAGGGAATTTCCTTGAACTGATTGAGGTAGATCATAAATGTATGGTGTGTAAGTAACTAGAGCAGGTTGGTTTAATGACCAGTATTTAATCATGACAATAAAATGGTACATAGATCGATTGATCAGTAAGCTAGGTGAAATATATGTGAGCTTTATCAGAAAAACACAAGCACATTTTCATTAGGTATCATTTATGTTTTATTTACAGTCACTACATTTATATAGTGTATTACAGATACTTTCCAATGTAGCTGGCATTGTGTTGCTTGCATGGTATCAGTTGATTTCTGACTTTGAAGCAGCAGAGACATACAGAATATTGGCCTACAGAAATGACAGACAAACATAGTCATATTGTCTGTCAATTCATAGGTCATTTTCCTGTATACCATTTCTTAATGATGATTCTTCTCTTCTACTGTTGAGTTACTGTGTATAGCATAACACTTGAATTCAAGGAAATTGATATTAATGTTTAATTATTTGTTAGTTTTATTAGAATGAAAGGTAGCCTTTTTTCTTTGTTAATCACACAAAAAGTAAGTGGCCATGTTTTGTTTTTCTTTTTTAATCTTTCTTCATTATTCCTTTATATTGTAGCAAGTTGGTAACCATCAAAAGTAACAGCATCTCCACTGGAAATGGTACATAGTCCACATGGAGTTGCTGTTACATTTGATGACTCCATTAAGCAAATCAAAAGATTCATTCTGCTTTTCCTGATGAAAGTCTATAAATTATCTCTAAGTTTGCTTGTTTCACAGAAGAAAATCTTGATTTATTCATGTTCTTAATAAGTTTAGGGACTGGTAGATTCAAAACTCTGATGTTTAATTTTGTTTTTCTCATTTGCATTTTATATTTACATTTGTATTTTCTCAAGAAATAATTCCTTATCAGACTTTAACATCATTAGTCATTTTCTGAATCTGTAATATAATGCTCTTAAAATTTTTATTGAAATCTGTTTCTAGTTAATAAATACAAAATAAATAATTTTTTAGAATTAAAGAATAAAATTAGAAGTGTTGACTGACTACCTAGGAAAGAAAAGAAATTATTGGTTAAATTTCATAATTTCAGATGATTGTAATCAATTTAACACTACTAATGTAATAATATATAAATTTAGGAAATTTAGTACCTGATTCCTGGAAGTTAAGACAAATTTACCAAAAACAGACAATGAATTTACAGTTTAAGTGTTAGCTATAACTATCTCAGATTTTTACTCATGTTAATAGTAACGGTCTTTGGTGAACAATGAAAAAAAAAGGATGTTTCTTAAAGAAAAAATTCTCAAATTATTTCTTATTACCTTTAAAATAGATAAGCATAGGATTAAAATAAAAAATGGATTTTCCTCAAGAAATTTCATTGTCTTCTAGAATTAAATTTAGTAAATAAAATATAAACCATTTAGCTGCTTACCTCATTCTTATTTCAGTAACTTGCAGAAGAAAAGTTTTCTTATAGTCTTTATTGTTTTGCTTATGAAGATCAAACACAGGCAACAGTGGAATAACAGCAACACTTTCTTCATTTTCCAGCAATCTTAATGCTGCTTAATTTCCAATAACACGCTAAATATGCTTTCGGCTCAGTTGATATCAAAGTTGAAATGATTGGTTGGTGTTACAGTTGCTCAAACTACCTAGTGACATTTTACTGATTGAAACCTAGGAAAGGACACGTAATGCATGTGTTTAGATAAGGCCCATGAGTAAAGTACAGAGTTTTATGATGGGCTTATTGCTTTTTGAAATACAGCATTAAAATGGAAGCATATAGATTATATAGTGATAACTTGGTTTCACCTACTATTATCAACAGTAATTTACAATGATCTTTAGGTTATAAGTTAACCATGTGGTAAATATACATTATTATTAACAGAGTAAAGGGGAGATTCTTAAATTTCCAAAGAAAAATTTAGACTTATTCCTTTTATTTTTTTCTGAAGAATATTTCAGCATATTTTTCATATATGCATCTTCAGAGTATCACAAGGAATTGCTTATAAATTTTTTTTTTTTTTAGTATCTTGATCCCACTTTTATTGTAAAAAATTCTACTTTCTGGTATTTATGCTAAGAGAATAAGAGATAATTTAAGCCAATTATGTAAGAATGAATATGAGCCATTAAAAATAGCTTAATTCTTAATGTTTTTCTAGGTCCTGTGTCTGAAAATCAAATGAATATAGCCATTCCCAGCATTTAGGGTCTTTTCTAGGTTTTCTTTTTTGCTGTTCTGCAATAAGCATCTTTTGAGCACTTATGTAGCTTTTACCTATTTTTTCCCCCACCTTTTTTTTCTAGATTTTCTTTGAGCATTAAATTTATCTTTATCTTGCAATACAACATAGTTATTTCAGTTTTGTAGGCTGTCATAATTTTTATTGTAAATTTTGGTTTTCAAACTCTATGCCACAAATTTTTAGGAT